ACTCGGGTGCTTTGGCGACCAACATGGTGCTTGAGCATGTTTAATCTTATCTAACCCTAGGGTCATCACCTAGGAACCTTAATCTTTGACATAAGCGGGTTCACGTAAAGCCCAACACTTCCTGCCGTTTTGATGTCTTTAGCTCTCTCAGCCTCCGAGACCTCAGGGGGTCAAAAAAACACCCACCCGAGCAAGAGGTATCCAACCGACCACTCGGGCGCGAGATATAAAGAAACTTAAATACGTGCGCGGCTTAAAAAAGTGTTTAAACATGGACAGAAAATCTTACCGCCGGGTGCACACACTTCAAGAGAATGCTCCACATTTAAAAATATTCAGATAGGCATCAGATATGATGGGAAAAGCTTGCTTGTACCTATTGGTAAGCTTTCAAGGTTCAAAAACGAAGCTAGGAAGCAAAATTTCAAAGTTTGTAAAAATGCGCCCCACTACATCATTGTTTGATGGTGTTATGAAATAGTTTTCTGACGACAACAATACCTGGCAGCATTTGGCAGCCAGACCAAAAGAATACTTCGAAACCACGAAAGCCGACGCCAACTGGCATTCTCGTTGTGAGGGCTGTGTCGAGTGGCAGATCAGTGGATGGTTTGTTTGTGGATTTTTTTCTTGGCGCTGGCCGCAAGAAAATGTTTGGTGGACTGTTTAACATGCGCAACGTAGCGATCGCCAGCTTTTATGGCAGATTATGAATACCAAAGCACGATATGCTGTGCTGCTGCTGTTGCTGCTGTGCTCTTGATGATTTTGTCAATGATTTATTGTCGACCCATCGCTGCCTGCAGTGCCCATGTCCTGATATTGATATCATGTGATATGCACAGTAGTTACTCTCTTCATTGTTTGTACTTGGAAATGTAGTGTCATGCGAATATTACTTAATTTGTAACGCTGTTATCAATTGATTGCCAAAGCATGACTATTGCTATGGTAAAGATGGTAAAGTGAGGCCAACCAGAATGATTTTTTTTTTTTGCTTAGGATTATCTATGCAATTAATAGTTAATCCTGATATGACCATTGCGCTGCAATGGCGTTCTTGTTGAGAGTTATTTGGCGTTGTGAATCAGTTGCTACTAGTCATCCATAAATAATAGGCAGCTGTCTCATAGATTTGACAGAGAAGTCTACCAATGTGGTACATTGTGTCATGGCACGGGCCATCAGCTGTGGCACTGCCTCAGTGCTGGACTGCGGCATGACATAATGAACAGTGAACAGTGTGGAACAACAAAACCAGTCAACTGTCTCCTGGGAAAAAAGGAGCGAAACCGTGCCTTGAGCCGCGCCGTCCACAAACATATATCTGCATAAAAGCAGGACCGCGGTTGTCTGACTTCTCGACCCAGCCGTAGCTGCGCCGTGCTGCTCAGGCGTGTTCCGCGTAACTCTTTGGTTACGATCCCTGTGTGACTCAATCCTTGAGAAAAATTATGGCATACTGCGCACCAAACGAAGTCTGACAGTCCGGCGGAAGTTGACAACGTCGATTCCAAAGTAAAATGTTCTGCTTACACAATGCAATTAGCCATTAAACAAAAAGAAACAGAAAAGAACACAAACACACGAACGAATACCATGCAAAGTACGTTAATAAATGGGATTAAGCCCGCGGCAAAGTAAACGCAGCGTGCGCATGATAAATTCTTCTACGTGTGCTACAAGGGTTCCGCCGCACTGAGTAATCGAAAAACAAATTAAAAGAATGAGAAAGGTCAAGGCCTCCAGCAAGCCAGCAGACTACGTCACAACAAAAACAAAAAACAAAAGGGAAACCTTCATGGGCATGGCGGCGTGGCCCGCACGCCGCTCCTGACCGCGACACGGGAAAGATGAGGGCCATGATGAGCCGCTGTGCCCTCCCGGGGTCGCTTTCAACGACAGAATTAGGATGGCCTCGGTGTGGGCTAACGGGCGACCCGTTGCGCCGAAGCCAACGTTAACGGCCTCGGTCACCATGCCCACCCACGACGGGCGCGAGTGTCCTGTCGCCGCCTGACCGAATCACTGCGGCCTCGCTTCCACATTAAACCATTTAAAACGCACGCCGCCAAAAGTAATTATTTTTATAATTTTATTTCTTATTATAATACAAGATAAATAAACGCCGCCCTAGCAATTTTGTGTATACAGGTAGTGGTCTCAGTTTTTAATGGTTTAGTGCGATTGCGAGGCTGGAGTGATTCGGTCAGGCGATGACAGGACGCTCGCACCCGGGGTGGGTAGGCATGGTGACCGAGGTCGTTAACACGCGATTCGGTGCAATTGGTCACCCGTTAGCCCGCGCCGAGGTTATCTTGATTTTGTCTTTGGAAGGGGCCCCGAAGAGGCGCAGCGGCTCGTCATGACCCTCGTCTTTCTCATGACGCGGTCAGGAGCGGCGTGCGGGCCATGGCGCCATATCCATGAAGATTTCCCTTTTTGCTGCGACGCAAGGCTGTTGGCTTGCTGGACGGTTTTACTTTTCTCGTTCACTTAAATTGTTTTCCGATTGTTGGGGGCGGCGGGACCCTCGCCGAACCCTGTCCAGCATGCCCTCAAGGATTTCACCATGCACGCGCTCTCTTCACTCTAATGCTGGCCCGACCCGATTTATTACGTGATTTTGCACCGCATTCGTGCGCGTGTATTTTGTTTTCTGCTTGTGAATATTTTCGGTGTAGTGGTTGCTTGCCTTGTTTAAGCAGAATATGTTGCTTTGGAATCGGCATTATCAACTTCCGCCGGGCTGTCAGACTTTCGTCTGGTACGCGGTATGCCATCTTTTTTCCCAGGGATTAAGTCACACAGGGATCGTAACCAAAGAATGATAGGCGTGGAACGCACCCGAGCAGCACGGCGTGGCTACGGCAGGGCCGAGGAGTCAGACGACCGGAGTCCTGCTTTTACGCAGATGTGCGTCGGTGGGCAGCGCAACTCGAGGCACGGATTCACTCATTTTTTACTAAGAGGCGGTTGACTAGTTCTCTTGTTTCTCACTTGGCTCCAGGCGTGACGGCATAAGGAGACATAGGTCATGATATTACCCAGGATCCGTGGGCACCGCCCGTGATGCCGGATTGTGCGCGGCGGTAGCTGGATCTATCCGTTGGTGTCCCATGCCTTGGGATAACAGAGCACAGCCTGCTCTATTCTGACATGGTGTACGCCAGGCTTTATGGGCGCTTGATGGCAGGATGTTCGGGACGAATGGAGTTCCCGCCATGGGCACTCGCTTGGGCTCCAATTGTCACAATGCCACCACTGCGTCGGCTACCGGATCCTCTGCAAAACCAAACGGCGGGAGGCTCAGTAGCACAGCAGCTTTCCCGAGGCGCCGAACGAGCCAAGGGTCACGAGTCCGCGGCTGTAGGCGGCGAGGATCAGAAGGCTGCGCCGACCGTCGGGGTCGGGGGTCACGAAGGGGACGTGACGCGGGAGAACTGCGCGTGCGATGTGGAGGTCAGTGGTCAGCGCGACGAGGGGTCAGAGTCGGCGAAGGGTGGAGGTGAGAGGAAGGAAGTTTGAGTGAAGTAAGGTGTGCAGCCGGAGCGGATTCGCCCGGGGCGTCGGCCGGTGGTCGGAATGGCCGGGCGCCGGCGTCGACCACCCCGCGGCCGACCGAACTGGATTTGTCCGGTTCCGGGCCCAGCTGATACCGTACGTCGTTACGCGATTCAAGCGAATTTTGGCCGCGTTGCCTTATGTGCCTCGTCAGATTTTACGTGGGGATTCTGAAGTCATTTTGCCACCCGAATGTCGGTATTTTGCACAAAATCTGCTTAAATCTGCGCTGCTGACACCGCTGAACGTCGCACTAGATTGAAACACTGCACTATGTTTTAAAAAGCACTGCTGCAGACGTCCCTTTTATACATCCCATTAATAATTCCAGCGCGTGCGGCGGTTACAAAATGGCCGTCGGCAGGCGGGCCATTTTGGCCTTCTCACCTGCCGTCGCTGTGAGCTGCGGGGTGAGCACGGGCTTACCGCCCATGAGCAGTGGCTCAGCTCCGTCGGATATCGGACGGCAGCCGACGCTGCAGGGCGCACGCCGAGTGGTGTGCGAGTGCTGGGAGAGGACTTCAGACGCGCGCTGGTTGGGCGGCGGGGGGCGACGGCTGGGCGACGGTAGCTGATGACGCCCGACCTGAGTGACGTGCTGAGGACGTCCTGAGTGACGTGCTGACGTCAGCCGCTGCGTCAGAAATGGCGACGTCCTCTGGATGTTCGACGTGTGACGCGTCACGCCCGCCGCCGTGATGGGTTGGGAGTGGGTATGGGAAGTGGATGACGAAGACGGCGCTGGCGTTTGAAATACAGACTTGCGGTGTGGCGAGCGAGTTGAGGTCTTGCGAAGTTTAGGGAGCGTTTACAAATGGAGAGGTCCGGGTCCGTCCGCCTTCTTACCTGTGACTCGCCCCTTCCGAGCTCATGATCAGTTTCCCAGCCGTGGATACCGGGGTAATACAAATCTGAGCGGTACAGTGGAAGCAAACGGGAAGTGCTGGTGGAGATATACCTCGTTTGGTATGCAAATGACAAGAGCAGCCAACGGGAAAATGGTATATCATGATACACTTGGTAGATTAGCAACGAGTTGATATGGTTTAAGTCCACCTCAAAATTGCGAGTTATATTTAGTGATGATCACTTCTAATTTTCACTTGTCCAATTCTGCTGAAGGCGTGCCAAAAGCCAGGATTATGTAACGTGATTTTGGTTTTCACTGATGGGAATATTGTTTGTGCCACAAATGACGCCGTTCTTTCATCGATTCAGCGGTTCACAGTCCCCACGACCTCTGTTCAAAAATCAAGCTAAGCTGGCTTGCCGCCTTCAGCATTATATAAGGCTTCCACGGCCTAGAAAGTCAGAACTGGATGTAATCTAGAAATGTCTGGCGTATTCGTCTTCTCCAGGTTGTCATTTAGTAGAACGATCACGCATAAGAAACCAGCCCCTAAAAAACAACACCGTGTAAACGGCGCCATATGCAGTGCTGTTATCCCAGAAGAACGCCACGCTGCCCACTTTGCAGTGCAGGGAATACGGGACATGCACATATATTTACCGGCTGCGGTCTCGGTGCCGGGCACAACAGAGCACAATAGGGCTCAACTTTGCAACAAGACGAAACTTTGCTGTGCTGGTAATGACCAGTTAAGCCTGAGGGAAGGTCGAAGTCAGCCCCGTCAAATCTGTCCATTAGTCCTTAATAGAATAGTCCAGTAGCCCCGTCAAAAAAGTCCTTTCACCATGGAGGTCACCGCTCTCACGGTAGGGACCACGCGCGGCGCGCGCGGGGGCGTGTGTCCCGGCGTCATCGCCGGCAGCAGCTGTTCGTCGCCTGCAGCGCCGGCGTGTCTTGGCACAGGAAATTGATCACGTGGTTGGAGTAGTACGCCAGCAGCGTTTTTCCGACGTGCGTCTCGTCGTAACACTCTCCCCGGACCGGTATGAAGGTTTTATGACGAACCTTGCGCAGCTGCAGGCACACGTTCTGCTGGAAGTTGACTGTTTCCGGAAGCATTGACGACCATATCACGAGACTGGGCACCTGTGTGGAGAGTGGAGCAAAGAAACAATAAGCTAAAAAATATGTATCTTTGGGCGAGGAAATGTCGCAACTGGCGCGAGCCCTTGTTAACCAGTGTTATTTGGGTCTAGTCACAAACAATTTTAGTTAAAAGATGTCCAGGAATGTAAGTTCCGTTCCTTGGTTTATTCACTAACAATAGCAAAGAACTCAGGCCGTTACCTGCACAATCGATAAAACACAACGCTTCAAGAAAGCCACCGTGGTTCTGCTTGTGTTCAGATACCTGTTGCACAACCACTTACTACAGTCAGCAAACATCGACTCATTTACATTATCTTGCGCTTTAAACGGTATGACGAAATCAATTATCGGCATGTTTGAGCGTGCGTGCAGGTGAGTGCGTGCGATTGTGTGCGTGTACGTTGGCCTGTCATTATGTGTGCAAGAGTAGGACTGTGTGTTTGTGCCTAGGAGTGCATGAATACACGGCCACACACCCATAAGCACACGCGCATGCCCACGCATAGGCGCACACGCATGCACACGCGCACACGCACACGCACACGCACACGCACACGCACACGCACACACACACACACACACACACAACACACACACACAACCACACACACACACACACACACACACACACACCACACACACACACACACACCACACACACACACCACACACACACACACACACACACACACACACACACACACACACACACACACACACACACACACATGCTCATTACATATAGTTGCGCATCACGTCATCAAGAAAATGTTCCACGCGTGCCGGCGAACGTAAACAAATCAGATTGGAATGACTTTGTTCAACGAAAAAGGTCAGTTGGAGGAAAATGGTGCAAAAATTGATTGCCAAACAGCGGGTAGTCGTGTGACAAATCCATTTTAAACAGTGTTGACCCTTGCGAATGGTTGGTGGAAAAGACCGATATGCCGAGAACGTCGGACGTGTGTAGCCAGACCGATCAGTCAAGCCTGTGATGAAATGCGTTTTATAGAAATAAGATGTCAGACTGACTGAAACCTGCCTTGATAGATGGTGTTTTGAAGAAAGCGAAAAGATACTCATAATGCAGTGGAGGACACCAAAACTGGCTACTCGAACCCAAGCATATGAGGAAACGGTGCTGTAGTCTTTCGAACCGGGCGGGATGGGAAATGGCAGCACCGCTCCAAATAACGCTACCGTACTCTATCAATGGTCTAACATGAGCGTTGAAGGTACAACGCAAAACCTTGATTGAACCGGTTGAACCGCGGCTGACGAGGGCGCGACGGCATTTGTACGCTTCGCATGAGAAAACCCAGCATCCTATTTGCTTTTGAGACAGCTCAATCTATGTGATCGGCAAATGTGGGTTTGGTGTCCAGCAAGACGCCAAGATCGCGAATCTGCTGGCAGCTATACAAGCTACACATGAATTATTGTCGCCGATTCCACACACGCGAGGAGGCGAAACAAAACCGGATCTCGTAAGCAAACTTGGCGTTGTTCGGCAACATAGTTGATATCTCCGACTTCATTGTAAGAGCCCACGACCATTATATGCAGGGCCCCGAAGCGATCAGGGGAGCCGCGGCCGATTAACACTTCGGTCCCCGCCAACAGCGTAAGCACTCCGATAACTTGGGAAAGGCACTAGCCCTGGACAATCGGGAGCACCTCATCAGGTCAAGATATAGGGCCCCGGCCAAAGTGCAGGCCCCTCCGGGAAAACGAGGAGAACTCGGAGCCAATGTACATCATTAATGCCTTTAAGCGATCGAGAGTGCCTTAGAAGATGAACGTCTTGGGCCCTCCACAGCGACGTAGGGTGCTCCTAGCAAGTGGAAATAATTCAAGACCAATGTGAAGGGTCCCCGAGCAACCGAGAGCACCCCGGCAGGCTAGCACGCGCTGTAGT